CTTGAGCCACAGGCGCCGAGCCAAAAAGTAACTTTTCTATATTCACCAAAATATCTACTATATGGATATATCTAATTCCTGCCCCCCAATTGTTTGTGTCTTTCAGAAGGACTATTATTTAACCTAAATATATTTGTATTTCCTTTTCAAGGTGAGGACTAAGGATCATGTGTTTGATAATGTCGGCCATCTTATCAGATACCATATGGATAATAGTTTGCCAATCATCTCTTCTGGAAGGGAAGTAAACCTTAAACAACCAGTGAGAAAAGATCATAATCTGGGACTTTTGCGTTCCAACAAATGACGACATTGAAGCACCATCACCCTGATACTTCAAGAAACTCCATTTTGTGTTAGGTCACAAAGATAATTCAAGTGTTCATTCCTTCTGGATAAAATACAGACCAAACTGTGAAGTGCGTCTTTCTGAACACATCATGGACTAGGTCCTTTATAAGACAAAGAACTAACAAAAATTGATCTGCAGAAAGGAAACCAGAGAATAGGAAGAGAATTGCTCCATTCGAAAAGAAACTATATGTATGCACTGATGTCACTTTTTAAGGTCCTATAACAGCGATAACAAGCTAAAAGCACAACTACAATTTCACATGCTAAAGACAACTTGAATGAACTGCTGGGGCAGTGGTATGTGCCTTTCAACTTGATAACTTGGGAACATTTTCATATTGGGGAGATTAATTCTATGTGTCCTCATGTTCTATAACTACAGAACCATTTGCCAAAAAAAGAAGAAAAAATGTTCCTCTTGCTACAATAAATGAGAAGCAATTTGCTTGATACTGACTTTATTACACTTTTGTTTGGTAGCATTTTTCACTGCAATATTAAAATAAATGTGACACTGATGTCACTGTGTCTATGTCATTAGAATCAAACTGAAAGCCACTGAGAGCACTGATTGGTCTGTTTCACTGGTCTGTCCCATTTTCTGGTTAAAGAGCTGGGGCCCAAATTTTCTGGCCTAGTCTTTCTCTATCTTTGCTGTTAGGACTGTTTGTATTCAGCGTGTGACAAACTCAAGAGGCCAAATCTATCAGTCATTTACGATTTTATCATATTCGTTTCCTCTTCCTGGTAAGAGCAAAGCTCATGAGTACTTTGATTTAAAGGATGGCAAATAAAATTGGTGTTCTTCATGTTCACTATCCAAATTGGTTTCTTAGTCAAAGTAAAGAATGTATGTGAAAATATAGAGAAGTTTCCCCTTGAGTGGCTGCCACTGAATCAAAGTCTCTCTCCTATATGTATCTTTAGCACCTTTTCTAGATATGATCAGACAAAAGGCAGAAGGGAGAAAAAATATTGAATGAAGCAGTTGGAAATTTTTGCCACATGTAGACCAACTAATAACTGGATAGTGCAATTAAGCAAAGCACTGTGCTGAAGCTCATCAGTGTGACCTTGAGCAAGCTGAAGAACCTCCCACTGTACTGGAGCTCATCACTGTGACCTTGAGCAAGCTAAAGAACTTGTTCAGATTCCAGTTCCCTTGTTTACAAAATGAGGGAGCTGGCTATGTGAATTCAGAGGTCCACTTCAGTCCTAACATTGTATGAGTCTATAAAAAATAAATTTTTCATCTATTAGGGGTCTATATTGATACCAGTTGGTATAGTTGAGGTAAAAAATGAAGTTTTTTCCTTGACAAAATGAATAACACAACTGAGATCAGCATTCACATAGTCTAGACCCCAAAACTTTCAGTCCAAAATATTGCTACTTTGGAATAACATAGCTATACTATAGTTAATGATGGTAGAAGCAGATTTGATTTGTTTTGAGTAGCAGAAAACTGCTTCGGTCCTTTACCTGCCTTTGCAGAGAGATATGGCCATTCTATCTATGTATATATAGAGAGAGAGCAAAAGAGAGAGAGAGAGACAGAGAGAGAGAGATCCTGAGTTATCTGGACAACTGCCTTAATTCCATTTCATTTTGGCTACGTTGATACAACTTAATCAGCTGTGATATAGCTGTTAAGCTTAAAATATGGGAAACTTTCGCTGGATAGAAATCAACAGAAACCAGGCACACTGAACTCTAATATTTTTATGAAAAAGGTTATGATTTTACTTCTACTGCCATTGATTTTTAGATAGGATTGTTTTCTTTTACACAACTAGGAAATAAGATATTTTCCCTCAGTTTTCCATGTACTTTAGTTCTTGATCATTTGTCCTCATAAAGAGGATGGGCGTGAGTATTGGGTATATATAATAGAAATTGATGGGTAATCTAACCACTTTTATCAGAGACAGAGCAGGCCTGTGGTCTACATAAGGCTGAGCAGAGTATTAACTAGATAGCAAGAAAGAGTTCTGATACCAATAGATGCAGAGAGTGTAAACAGTGTGAGTGGTGCACATTGATAATATTTGACTGTAACGGCATACTAGTTAGATAAGCAAATACTGCACTTACAAATACCATAGACACACTTAAAACAAAACAACAGATGTCTGCATGCAATTTTAATCTCACATTCTTATATTTGTCTGTCTTAAAAAGAGGAAATCCCTTTCTATAAATACTTGTAAATGACTTTTTAAAAAAATAAATACTCTTTAAAATTGACATACTATGTCTGTTATTTGGGATTTGGAAACTATCATTTGTAGGATGTATCAAGGTGCTATCAGGAAACACATGGCTCACTCGAATTGGGTAATTCAAGGAGAGTTTAATAAAGGGACTATTTACAAAGGTGTGGGAAATAGACAGGAAAACCATACAGAGAACACACCGCCCTAGGACCAGTGAAGGGAGAAAGAGAGAGACAGAAGTTAACACACTCTGGAGAGAGTTGTGTGGGGCTGACTTTTGGGAACTATGGCCTATCATGAAGGGATCCAGCTAGCCCCAGTGACTCAACAGAGATTCAGCTAGGGGAATTAAAACCTGAATTATTTCTGCTCCTTTCTGAGATCAGCAGATTTCTCAACTGGCCCGAGCAACTTGAAGACAGATCAAGGGAGTTCCTTGATGCAGTACAGAAGGTCAGCCTCCTGGGTCACAGAGCAGGATGGAAAAGAGAAGAGAAGGAATTTGGAAGGGCAAACAGAGCACATTCAGCTCAGAGGACTTTGGAAGCAATCAAGCTTCTGAAAGCATAGGAGGGATTTGGATTAGCTAGTAAGGTGAAGCTAACTTGCAGAGGAGTAAGTACAGATTTTCAGACAACCATATATGAATTATAGCAAAAATTTTAACTTTTTATTGTTAAAAACCAAATGAGCTATATTTTGAGGCATGCTTGTTTTGTTCAAGAACAACTTCATATACACTGCACTCTTACAGAGGTACTTTTAATTCTGTTTCTTGCAAGTCCTTCTACTAATTTGGCCATTTTTCTTATCTGTTATTATATATATAAAAAATAAGGAACTTGACCCTGGTACCTTTTATGATTAGAAGTGTAGATCCACACAGATTGCAATGTGAGATAATTTCACACTATGTCAATCAAGCACATATGTGAAACATGCCATCTGTGTCTGTGGAAAATATTTAAATATCCACATATAAATCTTAAAAGTGAATTGTTATTTTAATATCTTCAAGCTTCTTGTCTTACACAAGGTAAAGAAAGTTTCTTTCCTTAGTTGATATGGCCTTCCTGCTCTAGTTGTAGGTACTTAATCTATTTACAGTTTGCCATAATCTTACTAATGAGCCAAATGGTCTGACCATGGGGGTTAAAGAGGACATACACCACAGATCCTGAAAACATTAAAAGAATAATGAAGAAATGCTACGTACATTTCTGCACACATAAATTAGACAACTTGGGAGAAAGAGACCTATTCCTCAAAAAGCATCAGCTACCACAACTTATCCAATGTGAAATGTGTCATTTGAATAGACCTACAACTATTAAGAAAATTGCATTGACTATTAAAAACCTACCCAAAAGGAAACTCCAGGATCAGATGGCTTCACCAGAGAACTCTTATCAATAATTTGAAGAAAAATTAACATCAGTGCTGTATGACTGCTTCCAGAAGATTGAAGAGAAGGTAACTACTTCCTCATTTATTTTTTGAAGCAAACATTACTCTGACATCAAAACCAAAGACAGTACAAAAAAAAGAAGAAGCTACAGATCAATATCTCTATGAATATAGAGGCAAAAATCTATAGCAAAATATTAGTAAGTAGTATTCACCTATTTATGAAAAGATTTATATACTATGACCATGTGGGGTTTATCCTAGGGATGTAAGGTTGGTTCAATGTTTGAAAATCAATCACTTAATCCACCATATTAATAAGCTAAAGAAAAAAAATCACATCAATTGATGCAGAAAATGCATTTGACAAAATTCAATATCCATTTATGATAAAAAAAAAAAACTCCCAGTAAATTAAAAACAACTAATGGTCACCTACAAAAACATACAGCTAAACATTATAACTGATAGTGAACAAGGCAAAAATGACTGTTACTATTCTTAGTCAATGTAGTACTGGAAGTTCTAGCCAGTGCCATAAGATAGGAAAAGGAATTAAAAGGCACAAAGACCAGAAAGGAAGAAATAAAACTGTCCCTGTTTATAGATGACATGATTGTCATCAATCCTAAGGAATCTACAGAAACAAAATAAAACAAAACCCAAAAATATCTCCTAGAAGTAATAAGTAGGTTGAGCAAAGTTCAGAGGATACAAGATAAAGATACAAAATTCTGTTGTATTTCTACATATTAGCAATAAACACATGGACATCAAAATTTTAAATACAATACAATTTGCATTTGCTAAGAAGATAAGTACTTATAAATCTAACAACATACATACAAGATATATGCTGAAAACTACAAAATGCTGATGAAAGAAATCAAGGAAGACCTAAGTAGAGAGACATATTGTGTTCTTAGATTGGAGAATTCAACATAATAAAGACATCAGCTCTTTCCAAATTAATATACAGATTTAATGCAATTCTTACCAAATTTCTGCAAGATATGTTGTAGATATAGACAAGATTATTCTAAAATTTATATGGAAAGACAAAGGCACTAGAATGGGTAAAACAATTTTGAAAAATAACAAAGTGAGAGGAATCATCCTACCTGATTGAGATTTATTATATAGTTGCAATAATAAAGACTGTCTGGCATTGGTGGAGGGACAGCCTTGTAGCTAAATGGCACAGAACAGGGAACCCAGAAATGGAACCCCTGAAAAATGTCCAACTGATTTTTGGCAAAGATGCAAAGCAACTCAATGGACAAAGGATAATCACTGAAAAAATGATGTAGGAACAATTAAATATCTGTAG